AACATGAGCTCCCTTTAGGTTAAAGGTGGATACCCGACTTGGATTAATTAAAATATTACAGGAGCTTTAATCATGAATATAGAAAATGAAAGATCTCACCTTCCCATCTTGCATCTTTATCTCGAGGATGAATGGTGTAGTGTGTGGTGATGCGGGTCGTCGACGCTGAAGAGCAAGTCCTCCTGTGTATACTAGAGTACAGTTGTGGGGCTGAAGGGTCTTTCTGTAACGTCACCAATGCCCTGATACATCTGTGCGCTGCAAGAAAGGAAGGAAGTTCCAAATCAGGTCTGGTCTGAATTTGATTCAGACCAGTTCTAACAGGTGGGAATGGGAGACCTTGAACTGGCTAAGACCAGGCTGACTGGATCCTCTGAGGGACACTAAAATCTGCTCCATAGGACAAATAAAGCTAACTGAGGTGGCAGGATGTTGGAGTGTTTATTCTGATTTGTTCTTCTTACAAACTTTGATAACGTTGATATTATTTTTGGGTTGAGCCTTAGCAGGGAAGGAGGAAGTTCAAGCCATCTATTCCATTTGTTGGGCAAGGACTTCAACTTCTCCCTCCCTGGCTTTCTAACCACACAGCTAGACAGAGATTTAAAGGGAAAAAACAAATGAGATCGATAAGTATCAGCTCTGCTGACATGCTAACATGTGACATGCATGTTAGCATATCACAACAGTCTTGAGACTGGCATACAGTCTTTAGTCAGAAGCTTCTTGAGATTAGTTGTAAGACTGACTGCTACCAAAGATCCTTCCAGCCCAGAGCATCAACATCCATAAGATACTTGGAAAATGTGATTTATGACATTTATTTTTTCTTTGTGATAATTTTTTTAAAATCTGAGCTAAATTCGTTTGCCTAAGAAGAAGCAAGTGTCGTTAGCAAGCAGCTGTTAAACATCTGTAGAAACATCAATTTTGCATCTTCAGTTAAATGCAAATATTCCTGATAACTTTGTAAAGTTAATTTACACATATAACCTGAATATATATTTATAATCTACAGTAGATATCTTTACCTTATTTCCTGTGACCTAAATAACCGATTCAACTTTCACCTACATTAGCTTTGCGCTAGCAAAAATGAGAATGCTAAGCCAAGCTTTTTTTAAGGAAACACGAGAAAATTAAAGGAAGCCAGACAAAATAGATTAAAGTATCCAAAACGGTCGAGTAAGCATTTAGCTTAACCTTTAAAGTTGCTTCTTGTTTTTTTTTTATCATATACAACTAAATCTCAGCCTGTTAGCCCAACGGCTAAATTAGCTTACTTACCTTTACAAGTGTATCTGCTGGCTGGAAACATCCTCTGTCCACTACCGCTGAGCCACCAGAAGACAGCGGCTCCTCTTCCAGAGAAACGCAATTCTGTGTTCAATTCGAACCCGGTCCAAACCTTACACAATTCCCAGCCTGGCAAACAAGTAATGACCGCAGAATCTGCCTTACCAAACAACGTCTCATAACAGCGCAACGTATGAACGTCATACGCTACGCTGCTGCGTTTACTCTACACATACGGAACTGCGCATGTGTAGATCTGTATATACTTCACAGAATTCACTGAAATTCACTGAATGAATTTGGATTCAGATTAGTTTTACTTTGGTAAATTTACAACATGACAAAAAAAGAAGCCAAATAAAAGGCTATTTCATGAATCAATAATTTACTTTAAAAAAAGAAAAAGGAATAGGCTAAAACTAAGGTTTTTACTTGCTTTCCCTATCTGGTGTGAATGAGTTTTACACTGTTAATATTTTTACTGGACAATGCTTAATGCATCAGCATTATGAAAATTTAACGCTGAATTACAAAATTACAGCTTGATAGGGGCCGGAAGCGGAGAATAAATAGTTATATTTACATAGTTCCATTTATATAAACTTTTTTGCAGGTGGTTGGTATACTTTTTTCACCATGCTTTTTACTTTTAACTAACTAATATTATTCTGAAATCACTACTACTGTGAATAACTTCACTGAACAAAGAGCATTGCGATTTTAACCAAAAATGTATACGTTCCAAACCGACAGTTTATGTTAAAATCAGACTAATTTGTACATAAACATTGTTGTTCTGTCATTCTCTACCTGTTGAGTCTGTTCAGTGAATAAACCGTAATCAATATTCATTGTCAATGGTTATTTATTTGAATAATTTTCTTTGTTTTAGAAATTTAAAATAGATGAATTTGCACATAACTTTATATTTTTGTCAGTCTGATAGCATTTTAAAATATAAAATGAGATGTTCAGTTAGTATTAAGTATTTTTACCAAAGACCGTTTCACTCTCTAGTAAATTCTTGGAGGGCTATGTTTTTTTTTTTTTTTTTTCACTTTTGAGTGAAATAGATTGAAGTTGTGCTATTTTTAAGAATAATTTAATGGAATTCTACCAACCTTGGCTGGTGGCCATTTTTCTTATTCAACTCATTCAAGTACACTATACTTTTGAAAAGTTTTCATCTTAAAAATGTTCATTAAAAATTTAATCAATTGTAAGAATACTGGGAATAATATAACTAATTTTAGTTAGTGAAGTACACTAAAATAAAAAGGGATTTGTAAACGCACTTTAAATGGACTGGATAAAAAGTCTCATCACTGCAGAGTTTTAGCTGAACATAATTGTCTATCTTTACACAGATGAGAGTGACATCACATTCTTAATCCATAGGGTTTAATATAATGTCCCCTCTTTTGCAGCTGTTAAAACTTCAGCATTCCTCAAGGCTTAGGAGTGTGTTTATGCAAACTTCTGATCTTCCTCTTCTAAGAGTTCATTTGTGAGTTCAGACACAGATGTTGGACGGAAGGAAACAGACCCATTCCAATTCATCCCAAAGGTGTTCTATTGGGTTGTGGTCAGGACAGGCCGGTAAAAATCTTTCACAACAAACTGTCTCATCTATGTCCCAGGTTTATGTATTAGTGTGCAGTTGGAACAGAAAGCTGGCTGAAGGAGTTTCTCTGCCTGGAACTAAGGATCTGAGCTCAACTCCAACAAAGCAGCCATACAAATTATTCCTCTCTGCACCAAACTTTGCTGTCACAATGCATTCAACCAAGTGTGGTTTGTCCTTCTAACAATTGACAAACTCTAGTTTGTTTACTCGACTGCCAGACAGAAAGGTGAAATTAGTCACTGCGCGTCTCCTCTGATGTAGAGTCCAGCAGCAGTGTGCTTTCCACTGCACTTGGTGATTTAAGGCTTTGATGCTCTTGTTCAATCAAAACACATTCAGTGAAGCTCTCTGTACACAGCTGTGGAACTAATCTGAAGGCCACATGAAGCTTTGAGGTCTGCAGCATTTAATTCTCCAGAAAGTTGCTGATCTCTGTGCTCCTCAGCATCCACTCACCCTGTTCTGTTATTTCACTTGGTCTTTTGAAGACATTTCTAAACTACTTGATCATAGCCATTAATTAGATATATGATTTCAATACACAGGATTTACAGCAGATTAATTGGAACGTTTGGTAAAGAGGTCATTTTGGGAACACTCATCTTTACAGACAACATAGTTCAGGTTTTACTGTATAAAAGTTTCAGATCTGAGCCTAAAAACCATTATGTGTAGTGAAATCTATCGGATTCCGTCTCTGTATTGTAGTATAATTTATTTTATAAGAATGCAGCTTGTGCAATTACTTTACAAATTGAAATGCTTTTTAACTATGAAAAGTAATTACTTACCCTTAAGGCTTGTTATCAGTTTCTGCAGCCAGATGTATGTGCTCCACATGAAGCCTGGTTGATGTTAGCTTCACATGTCAGATTTTACTTTTCCAATAACCTCTTTGTGTTTTCAATTGCAGCAAAGTTCTTAACTTTTCTTTCATTTTTACATGAGGTAAAACCATATTTTTTAGTGATAAAGGCACTAGATTGTGTCAAAGAAAGATTAAATGAATCACACTATATTTTATTCCAGCATAAAAATTATTGCTACTAACCTGGCATTCTAATCGTAACCATTAATTTAAGGAATTATATAACATTTTGCAATGCCATAGTTGTCCTCAAATGTGGGGTTTGCATTTTGTAATGCTAAACTCTTCAGTTTTTAAATGCTTAAAACACATTACTGACAGGAAACCTATTTTCATTTATTATCTGTAATTATTCGCTCTCAGTACTGATTTTCATTAAGACATAAAATTAATTTTTTGGGTCAGCTCAGTAGTGGGACACATGCCCCGTGGGCTTGACAGCATCTGTGTTCTAATAAAAACTTCCACTAATTTAAAAAGTTATATAATCTACTCAAAACTGCAATCGGAGAAAACTGCAAAGCATTTGGGATTTTCCATGTCAATAATGTCAACATCATTTTGAAAAATCTTGGGGGGCAAAAAACCCTGATTTAAACTACATACATGTTTTCTTGGGGTGAACTGCTTCAAAATGCTAATTGGAGTAATGCTAGTGAACATGAAGCAATACCTTCAGTAATAATCTCATGTTGAATGTACAAAATATTTATTGCTTTCTATTTTTATTCTTCGGTACTTTGTTTTACATTTGTCAAATTATATTTCTAAAATACTCAAATCAAAATCCACACTTTATTCCTTTGGTTTAACTCAACACCTTCCTCATCTTGCATGTAAACATTTAATTGCCTTTTAATTCTTAATAGGAAAAACTATTGATCTGTATGATCTGTTAGGGAAGGGGTAGCTTTCGCAGTAAAAAAAGCACACATTTATGCAAAAGATTAAATATCCAAGTGTCTGCTTTTGTGAAAAAAGGCTAATTTCAATTTGTCCAAATGTGTCAGAAAGGCTAATAAATTCATATGAATCATCCTACTTTTTCACATCACTGCACACTTTGTTTCAGCTTCAAAATCCAAAGTTAAGTGACCTTTTAGCAGCCTAATATAATTTGTGCTTTGAGGAACACATGCTTTCCATTTTAGTAAAGAAAAAGACTGAAAAATCTAACTTAACACAGAAATAAAAAAAACAGGAATTCACTTAGGAGTTCACAACTGTATTTTATTGTACAGCACTGGTTATTTTACAAATGCCAGTATGGTACTTCACATTGTAAAAAAATGTGTTGTGATGTTGGAGTTTGTGAGATGAGGTTCAAACCCCCAGACCAGCTGGGGATTTATCTAAACAGGATGTAAAAAAAATGCTTCCTGTGTTGCAACAAATGACACATAAAACTTAATTTCATTCCTGTCCAAAATAAATACATTCTTTGTTGAGCACACAGAGACTAACTGTTATATTACATTCAGGAAAGTACTTCCAGTAATTAATAGTGTGAAAGGAGAAACAAAGTTTTCTGCAAACTGAGCATAAAGTATTAGAAATGGCTGCATTGATTATTTTTTAGAAAATCTTTGAAATGTTTTTTTCTTATTTCTCTACAATTGAGAATGAAATGCATTGTGGAGAGCCTGTTCATTCTGAAAAGGGAACTTGATTGAGTGATTCAGACTTTCAGTTGTTTGATAGAGACTGACTGGACAAGAATCTAATTGTCAAACTAAGGAGCGCAAGTTTTTCACACATAACTTTTCCATTTTGGCTTTATGGTTCACAAATAATGACAGAGAGGAATTTCTTTCACATTTTTTTATACTTGATGGTAGATTTAAATACATTTAGAAGCTGGTGAGCATATGAATTTCATTCAGACATAAAAGGCTAGAAATGAAACAGGGTGATAATATTTTAAGATGTTCACTTATTCATTTCTTTTAAAAGTTTATAATCAAAATAAATCAGCTAATTTTGATTGCTTTGCTAATTGGATTGTGCCTGGACAAATGAATGGCCCTTTCTGATTCTTCCTCCATGTATTCAGCTCATGAGCAGGAGCTGTCAGAACCGCTCTCAGAGTATCTGACAGGTTTGAAATGTAAGATGAACAGCTAAAAGCACAGAGCCTTCAGCTGTACGGATGGCACTGTGGGTTTTTCAATCATCAGCACAGATTTGGAGAATGTGTTATTCTCAAAATGTTTCAGGAAAAGTCAGGAATGTCAACCTTGGGCTGTTGCTACATTAAATGTCTCGATGGAAGACTGACATCAGCACTTTCTATCTCCAGGACAAAAAAGTCAATTCTGTTCAGAGTAAATTTATGTAAAACAATCTAGTGCCTTTGCAACTACCAAATCTATCCTGTGGTGTAGCTACATAAAATAGGAATGCAGCAGACATGTAGCAACCTGAGGCAGCAAAAATGCCATCCATTCAGCAGATTATTTATTTATTTATATATTTTCTGTTAGATAACAGCGGGTGGAATGTAGCTGTCATCACAGTGACTTTTCCAGCAAACAAGTTTAGCTGCCCTGCTTTAAGGAACTTTGCAATAATGACACTGAAAATCCATCTGCTGTACTTCCTCTGCAGGTGACCTTTCATGTGTGTGAAGCCAGGGTGCCCGTCTTTGCTCAGGCTTCCTGCTGGGAGCAGAAAAAGTGTTTCCACACACACCGAGAAAAAACAGGTCCATTTTTACATCAGTGAATACACGGGAAAAGTCTCATCTTGAAGAAATTGAGTGTAGCCACAAACGACGGCAGGAAAATGAACATCTATGAAATGAAATGGATTTTTTACATCCACAGTGAATCACAAACCCACTTGTGGAGCGACATAAACTCTGCTGATGTGAGAGGGACCCACTTGTGCATGAAAAGCAGTGGCACATGTACATGCTCGGAATAATCACACGGGTTGCCTTACAGCTAAACATCAGCGTGTTTGTATGCTTCTCACATTCGCACCAACAAATCCTCCTCTGTGTCTCCAGAAAACTTATTTTAGATAAAGAGAAGGGTTTAAAATTTAGCATCACTCCATCTTCCTTCCATTTTTACCCAATACTGAGACAGTGGATGTAACTGGAGTATGTTTCAATAATCCTGAAGTGCGTAACTTCTCTGTCTGAGTGCTTAAACTAATGGAGGGAAATCTCACAGGACAGGTTTTACAGAACTAATTGTTTAAGTCTGGTAATGNCCTTCTCAGCTGCAGAAGCNTAAAATGTCAGTTCATAAAATGGATTTTTCTACGTCAATTAGGCATAACATTATGACCATCTTTGGAAGTTGATGCGATCACAATTGCTTTAGCTGGACAAAGCAGGCAGCACTCGTTGCCATTGACATTAAAATTGCACAAATTGGAATTCTGAAAAAAAATTTGCTTTTATGGAAACATTTTGAGAAAAAAAAAAAAAAGTTTTGCACTAGCCTGAGGTGTTTTTTTTGTTTTGTTTTTTAGTTGAATTGAAATGCAATGGAAACACCTTTTGTGCATCACCGGAGGTCTCTCAGCATTACATACTTCAGAAAAAACTGAATTTGACTACAAGTTCCCCAAAACGCAGCATATAGCCACTACCAAATATAAGACATTTGATGTTCCAATGCCTGAATCAGACACCAGTGTCTCCTCTGATGGCTGATGATGAGAAAACATGATTCATCAGACCAGGGCATCATTTTTCATTGCTCCATAATCCAGTTCTGATACTCATCAGTCTACATGTTGGTGCTTTCAGCAGTGACAGGGATCACTGCGGGTACTCTGACTGGTCGAATGGCTATGCAACCTCAGACACAGTAAATGTGCATCTTGTAGACTTAGTTTGGGTGTTGCGTGCAAATGTTTGGAGTCAGAGCATAAATAAGAATAAAGAAATATCAAAACAAAGATGGAGACATAGAGATAGAGAACATTCCATCTGATTTGACCGTTTAACCAGTGGAAATTAAATAAAGAAACTCGGACATTATATTCATCAGATGGCAAGACATCTCGTTTAGATGCTAAGGAAAATCGAGGCACATTATTATTACTCTGATTCCTTTTTCTTTCTTTTTGCAAGCCGACAACTCATAGGAGTAGATAATGAAACAGAAAGCATCTTAACAGCCTAATTATTCTGCTACACATCTCTCTCTACACTCTGTGCGCTGCTGCAGTCAACAAAAGCTGCGCCACCAGAACCAGAGGCTACAGCAGGGAACAGAAGCTACTTCTGAATCACTAATCTGTTTTACAGCAAAGCACAGCGACAATAAACAGGAACGCTTGTGTGGAGCCTTTAAGCCATTACATAGAGACTCAATGCATCACTGGCATCATAACCAGTCACTTTATTTAGTTGGAATATTGTGTGATAATGATTCCTGCCAAACTGCTGTAATGAGCTCACCATTCCTCTCATTTAATTGTAAAAATATTTGAATTTTTAGAAGAACTCTGGGGAATAAGCAGTTTTGGGGAGCAACTAATGAAACTAAGTCCCTCTTACTTCCACTGTTCCAATTCTCCATAATCCTCTTTATCAATGTTCTGCATGTTTAAATAAATGCTTTAAGTTGGATAACTGAAAAGTATGTTAATGTACTGTAAAGTTTATACACACAATGCTTGGTTGAGGTTCCTATTGCATTAATTTGCTTATATTCAGCACTCAGTAAAAAGCTAGGTTTATTAGCAATGACATTTAGCAGCTTATCCTTGTGGAGGAAGCCAACACTGTCTGCTGGGCAAATGTCAAGGACAAGTGTTCTTCATTATTTTTTGCCTGTAACATTAGATTATGTATTTAAAATCCTTTTTTTATTGGTGTCAAGTAACTTTCTCAGAAACTACATTTTGGATTATTATTAGCTGTAAAGTATAATGAAATAAATAATTAAAAAAATTGCTTGAAATACACTGATTAATTTGCATGACTTTCTTATTCTGTATGAAATTGCTGAGATAAATCATATTTTTAATGACATTCTCATTTACAGAGATGAATCTAAGTTGTATTTAAAAAAACCTTGTAATTCAGAAGTCTTCATCTTTGATTTGTAAGTGAGGTGAGTTCTAGAAAAAAGGCAGAGTAAAATGTTTAACATGGTAGTTGTACACCTTTGATAACTGTGTTTACTGCTAAGCCTGATGGATACTGCTGGCATGGTTTTTCACTTTAAATGAGAAATCTGTGCAAGGATGATGGCCTAAGTTCCATAGTTAAGGGAATAATTAAAAGAGTTTAGATGAATGAACCTGAAATGTTAATGTGGTTGAGGAGAATTATACAGACATACAAACAGATCAATTCTTAGTCACTTAGAGGAGGTCATTTGTTTGTGTGAACGTGTGAATATGTGTGCGTGTTTGGGGTACCGTCTTATTCTGCGAGCACACCGATAACACGGCATGCTGCTTCTGCTGTTGTTGTTTCGTGCTTGCATTAAAGTCATTGTATCCCTCATCCGGATTCTCCACAGGGGGGAGTTTGGCTGCTGTGTCTTTCGCCTCCAGCGGACACCCTGGGGAGACGCCGTGGCTGTTTTCCTGGAGGGGCCACATTTCCTGCCAGGTGAGCGACGGATGATGTGGTGGGTGACCGCTGAGCAGAGGCCTTTTCTGTCTGTAGTTTGCCCACACTTGGAGGATTGTTTCTTTGAAAGGCCGCGTGGTTAGCGTGTAGAGGATGGGGTTCAGGGCACTGTTGATGGGGAGAATAAAGATGACGACCCAGGAACTAATGGTACCTGCCAGGAGACAGAGATAAAAAAAAGAGGGGAGAACATAAATGTGGAACAAGCTAACATGACAAAAATATTCATAAAAAATCATTTTGATGACTTTTTAGCATTTTTATATTTACAGCAGAAAAATGGAGATAGAAAAGAATCATTGCTGTGATGATGTGCTGATGTTAGAAAGAAGGAGCTTCTTAAGATTACAGAGGCCAATTTCAAGTTGTCAAATGCAAAGTCAGATTTCTTTTAAGTTATATTTGATACATTTTCATAACAACTGAAGGGAATATAGTTACTTGATTGGGCTCTCAGCCTGAAAAATACATAATATTGGTTCTTTATCAGCAATTCCTTGTAAATGGTGCTGGAAAGCCAGTTTATTTCCCTTTAAATGTTATGATGTTTATGAAGAAAATGCATATGATTTGAGCAGTAAACCTTGCAACATCTGGCAATGTGATGTGTGTGGTGGCATCTCCCACACTGGAGAAAAGAAGGCTATTTATCATCTCAATGCAGAGAGATATCGAGATGAGTTTCAACCGGTGAGAATCCCATATCTCTATTCTCCGGGACCGAACTCTTATCTTCTAAGATGTCAATGTTCCCCCAACACAGCAGGTTTATCAGATTGAGAGCAGAGGTTGCAATGACCAGGTTTCAGTTCTGACCTCCACCCCACTAAACACTTGTAGGATCAGCGTCGGTGTGCCGTTTATGCAACAGGATCAACACAAGTGACAGCTGCTGGTTGAGAAATGAGAAATCAGCCACAGCAGTGTGTAACTGAGCTGGTGACTAGCATGAAGAGATGCCAGACTATTGTGGTTACACACCATCAAAGCTCCTGTTTGTTGAATTAATGTTGTTAAATTGCCAAAATAACTTGTTTCTTTGAACTTCCATTACTCAGTTCAACAGACACCAAAAACATGCCTTAGCAGGATGAGCAGGATAAGCAGTCTGGCATGGGTAGAAAGATATTTGGCTATTTTTTCAGTAGACTATCCAGAAATGCATCTTTCTTAAAAATGTGGCACAATTTAAGAGAAAATAAACAGGTCGTCCAACAATGTAAGCTTTATTTCCAAGAACCTCTGTCATTCAATATGATTTTGTTCAGGTTGTAACTGCACTAGAAATAAACACCAAAAGTGAGGAAAAATTCAAGGAGCCTTGTGAATACAGCTTTTACTAAGCAGTTAGACATTATTATTGCTTTTGGAGGTGACATTTTACCCTCAAAATTATTTTGCAAAACTTTTATTTCAGGAACTTAAATTGCTAATTTTCGTTGTCACTGGTGCTAACACGCACCACACAAATACTTCAGACACAAACTGAGAGCCACTTATGTTATTCTAAAAGAGCATATTTAAGTGGACTTTAAGTGGGCATCTTTTCATTACCGGGAATTTCCACTTGCAGCAGTGAAAGGATCTTGAGAATAAAAATGGGGATCCAGCAGAGGGAATCGGTGATGACGATAGAGAAGAACCGCTTGGCGATGGTGACCTCTTTTTTTATGTGGTTGCTGTACTTGGTGGTCTGAGTGCCTGTTCTCTGGATGTTATAGAACATACTTGCATAGGAGAAGACAATTATGAGGAATGCCACCAAGTTGAGACCTGAGGAGAGAGTACCGAGTTCAGAATTACTTCTGGGGTCTACAAGGTTTCTTAACATTGTAATTATCAAAGATGATCTGTAGGGTTCTTAATCTTGATACAAATTATTATAATTTGATATAAAAGTATTATAATTTTGAATCAGATCTTTATGCAGGGGCACATTTATAAAACTTGTAAAGTTTTATAGCTTAAGCAGTTAGTTTTATAACTGGATTTGTTTGGTTTATTTGGAAAACCAAACAAAAAGATGTATGTGTTTGCAAAATGTTATGGGAGTAAAATATGTATTAAGTAAAATTGGTTAGAAACATGGTTATGCAATAGGAAAAAGCAAACATGAAAACAAATGCTCACCAAGAAAAATAACAATGGAGTACACATGTGCCCAGGGCGTCTCTGGCTGCTCCGAGTGCAGAGGGAAGCAGACCCCATTGGTGCCATAAAAGTTGCGAAATAAACCCTTGCAGGCCAGAGGCAAAAAGGCGACGACAAATCCAAACACCCATATCCCGAGCAGGATACTGACAGTCCGTCGCCAACCGGGAGTCAGGTAGTGGAAAGGGTACACGATACAGATGTACTTCTCCAAGGTGAGATACGTGAGGAGCAGCACAGACACTTCGGTAGACAGCATAGCCAAAGAGCCAATGACCTGACATTGAGTGCTGTCCATCCAGGCTTGAGCATGACGATTGTATTCACCACGAAACTTCAGGTCATATGCACCAATCATGAAGAGATAAATACCCATCAGGCCATCGGCACCTGCAAGAAAGAACAACTTCCTTTAGAGAGAAGTCTGATTAAACTCATAAATTCTGCCATTTCAGGGGTTTTGTAGTCTTTTTGCTATCCACTTTTAGGGTGGCTTGCCCAGACCTGGGGCATGTTGGCAGCTGTTTTAAAGGTCCTTCACTTGCAGACTATATTCCAGACAGTGGAATGGCAAATTTTCAGAGTCCTTTGAGACCTTGTTATTTCTTTTACCAGACTCATACAACCCTCTGCTGCAATCCACTTTCTGAAGCCCTCAGACTGCTGTTTTGATTGTACCCTGGTGTTCACTCTCCTTTCAACAGTCATTAACACACCACACAAATTACTTTTCCACAAGCACCTAACAGCATGGCTAAACTCAGCTAAACTCTAATTTACACAGTTCGAGTGACTTTCCATCAGTTTGAGAAACAGCTCTAGTGGGTGGGTGTAATCAAATAGTTGGGGGGTCCCTGAATCTGAGAAGTGGATGGATCTGTACGACACAAACACAATATGGAAGCTATGTCAGTCACTATTTTGAGTTTTTTAAATGTTTGGTTATTGTAAGAATCTCTCATGATGCAAAGAGTGACTCCACTCCCTAGCCAATCAGTGACTGACAGACTTGACGTGATGTTTTCAACCGGACTCCACATGTTTTAAACCTAAGCAGTAGTAGAAAAACCTGATCACCACATAGAGCCGGCGCCAGCTGGACTGAGGTGGTCCTACTGGAAAAAGGTTGTAAATGTCTAAAGTTTGAACAGGGCACAGGTCCATCAAAATGGTCCTGATTGGTTACCTTGGCCTTTTTTGTGCTGCTGGTGACCTTTACTCATAGTAATCGGACTGCAGGCAGAGAAAGAGCAGAGGGGAAGGCATGCTGGAAGTGTCCCAAGGTCAGCAATATAAACAACTGTGAGGGGCGCTCACTTGACCAAAATGCACCATTTTAGCCATTTTAAGTGGGAATAAATGAGGGGATGTTCTAATTAATTTCTTTTACAGAATATATTTTATTTTTATTGTTCAATGATTAATTTATAAGTATTGTTAAAATGTATATTCGATATCCATATTGTAACTTTCTAACTATAGAGACCACCTGAACAAAACCCTCATCCAATGATTTTGAAAAGAAGAAAAAGGTACATATAGGCTCCACTTGTCTATAAGCAGAAGTCCATTTTGTGAGTACTTTGAGGTTTTCTTTTGAGTAGTATTTTTTTCTAATATATATCATTTTACTTTTTATTTTTTCTCCAGTACATCTAATTTTGTAAAAAAGAAAAGAGAGGCTTTTAGAGGGTGTCCTAAATTTCTGTGTGTTATTTCATACAACTCACCAACTTATCCACTATAAGATTTTCTGAAATGTCGATGACAAAGAAATAGATGCCCTTTCTAGATAATTAGAATTTTTTATTCAGAATAAATTAAAACTGTAACCTGTTATCTTGCTGAAAAGATGAAAGGATGTATTAGAGCACATGTGTCAAACTCAAGGCCCGCGGGCCACATGTGGCCCGCCATGTCATTTTATGTGGCCCCCCCAGCATTTTATAGGCCCATGATTGATTTAAAATAGGATTTGAGCACGAATTGACTACAAACTACATCTCCCATAATGCATTCCGATTGTTACCAGCCAACATTACGGCTTCTCGCCACTAGAGAGCAGCAGAGTCACCTCAAGCTGCTTATTGATTTCCCCAGCGAATAAAACTGAGACGTCGACAAGCTAACATCAAAACGTCCAAGAAAAGAAACATCGATTTACAAGTAAGACTGAATGAAGATGTGTGTAAGTTGGTGTCAGGGCGGCAGGTGGCGCTAGACTTTTTTTGTTATCCGTTATTTTGACCGACAACATAAAAAAAAATCGGTCATGTACTATTTTTATCCGTGAAATTACAGTCATATTAACATCGACTATTTAGTCGCATTTTATGCGGTTTAGTTAATATTCACCGTGAATCCAGATTCCATTACAGATTAAGCAGATAAATGCATCTACATTTTTCTCCGTAGTGACAAAAACCACTGACTGAGGCCCCAATAACTTTTAATAAATTAAATTAAGCGACTTCACTTAAATTAGCATCCTTTCACCCGCTGGGGTCTGAACGCACTTCCTCCTAGTTCCCATCTGCAGAAAAATCTGCGCTAATTCATCAGTCAGTTGGATCTGTCTGATCCAAACAGATGTAAAACTCTGTGAGTGTTTTACCCTGTCCGGTGTGCGCTTTTACCAGGATTATTTATTTATTTATTTATTTATTTATTTATTTATGTGGTTTTGCTTCTCCGAAACGGACAGATGTTACGTCTGCAGCTCCTCCA